GTAATAGCTCAAACACCGTGTACCGACACAGCACAGAAAGATTGCAGGAAGATTGCAGAAATGTTACATTGCAAGATTGCAATATTGCAGCAACGTTGCGCAACAATAGCTGCTTTCCTTTTACACTCAAGTGATACTGAGTCACTCAGTTATGTGAGTATTTTATACTCAGATATGACGTCATTAATGTGAGTGTATTAAACTCACTAAAGCACACGGTCTTGATCGTGTGCAAAAACTCAGTTAAATCTAGTTGAATCTCACTTCTCAAGAATCAAAAGGAACATGCATTCAACTGAGTTATAACGTCACAAGTGAGATTTATCTGAGTTTTCATGTAAAAGGAAAGCAACTATTGCTGCAAGGTTTCTGGAGGATCGCAGTAACGTTGAATGTCCGCCCTCAGAAAGATTGCAGTGCAAAATTATAGCAATGTTGCGGCGCAATATTTTTGGAATAACTTGTCGTTGTTGTGCATAATCAGAGAATTTACTAATTACATATGCATCCGGGCCTTTTTCAATACACAGCAAGCTATTGCGAAGCAACCTAAGGAGATTATGTCGCTTCGCAATAGGTGGAGATTGCGAGCAACACTGCACTGATCAAGTACTTAATAATTCGCGCATTATTGGTATCAACGGAAATAACATAATAAAATTCTCGTAATTAGAAAAAATTTTTTAATGGAAAATATAGTATTTTCATTATTTTTGAAACATTGCTGCAATATTGCTATCGAAAGTTTGCAATTTTATATCCCTGCAATGTCTCTGCAAGATTCCAACGTTTCTGCAATGTAACTGCAACCATCTGTGCTGTAATGAACAGTTTAACCATTAAACCTTCTACAAGTAAAAATTCTTAAATTAATCACATCAATTGAAATAATGGCAGCATTACAATTAAGTATATAAGAATTCTCAATCAAAATGTGACAGTCTTCCCTGTTTAAAAGAATAAATAGAATATGATCAGATTACACTAGATTGCATGCAATTTCGACATAAATTAGTGAGACTCTTATTTACTTATATCAAAACTACATGTAATTTAACGTAATCTCATATTCTATCTAGTAGTTTAAACAGGGTTCGTCTCTCGTGGAACAATACATCACGTACTGATTGTAAGATACACAGGGTGTTCCGCGTAGACCGAATTTGCCATAAAGTTTAGATAGAGCGGGCAAACTGACTCGAAGAGTTCTACATCATTCTGCAAAATTCACAATAATTTTTTAGTAATACATAAATAAAAACATCGAGGCGAATGAGTCTAGAAAGATCTTACGGCGGATTCGGCCTGGACGGGACACCCTGTATAAATAAAAATGATAAATTTTTATCTCTTTATCTTTTCGAGCGTCATCAAGATGCGTTGCAAAGGCGTACACTACTATCGGTGCGACAGTGCACACAAACACTGTTTAGATACAAGTTATTTCTCTCGTGATCCAACGCGTACGATATTGCGCGTTTGAAGTCGCCCAGCTTTCGATCGAAGCAACAAAGAAAAAAAACCTGGAGAACTAGACGAGAGCGGCGACGTTCTCGATCTCGATTTCTCAGCCTCGAAAATACGCGAGATTTGCGAGCTGCGTAAAGAAGAATCGTCAAAGCCTTTTCGCTACTCCCGCGGTTCTGGCGATAAACATGCATAATACGCGTTGAAAGATAGCGGCCGCCAGCTCCGACAGGGCGAGCCGGCCCTGGCCGAGCAGGCGGATGAGCGGCCCAACCGAAACGGCCAAAAACACGGATACACGAGTTCACGTGGAAAACGCGTGAACACCGTCGAGAAGCTTCGACCGGCGGGTCGAAGCGCAAGAAGCGAGCGAAACGCGGTACTCACCGCCGGGACGGAACGTGGCACGCGTCGCTACGCTCTGCGAGTGTTCTCAGTTAAAGTGTTACAGTTCTACCGAAAATAAAACGCCTTAGTTGATCTCTACCGAGTGATCTCTTTTCCCCTCTCATAATCCCGGCCCTCGGCAACGGCCACCTAGCCCGGCGAAATAGACGTAAAGTCGGCGGGAGACCTCCTTACAGCATTAAGTGCGCTTTGGTTATGAACTGGTTAACCCGAACTCCCCGTTCGCGCGAGAAAGAGGAAAGCTGGTATATATCGTAACGGCAGATCGCTCTTCTTGGTCGTGAATCTTCTGGAACTTTGCCTACCTGTGCAGATGAGGTTCACTTAAATTCGTGCATGGAGCACGAATACTTCTCTCGCGACCGTCCACAAATTTGATACAAATGTATTTGCACGCAATTACACAGAGAACAGAATGTCGGCACTGTCGGCAGTCGGGTACCTCACGAGAGTTGAGGATTGCCAAACTAGCGCGCAGTCTGGCCAACAGTGCACTGAAAAATAATGGGAGATTGGCTTGAGCCTATTGGCTCCTGCCCAATGGACGCGATAAAGGTGCCTTTTCATGGGCGTCAGTTGACGCGCGTCAAATTCGCTCATATACTTGACGCCGACTGAACGTATTTTTAAATAACTCCTATATGCAATCGTTTGTATTTCGTATGTAGACATTTGTAGTGCAATTAGAAAGGTTTGTGAGTCATACATTTGTTTGTAATTAATTAATTATTTTTCTACCGTATACTTAGCGCCAATAGATAAATTAGATAAAATTTTTATATGGAATCGTTGGTATTTCGTATGAAGACGTTTATAGTGCAATTAAAAAGGTTCGTGAGTGATCCAGATAATTTTAATTAAATATTTATTAAATAGAAGTTAGCCGGATTCAAAATTTCATTGATTTCTTATCTATGATACTGAATGATTTAAGACATAAGAATTGCTTGTCACGCCCACTGAAATATATACTAAAGCCTATCACACAATGTCAGGCAACAGGCAACAGGAACAGGGAATAGAATTTCTGACGCGTTGGATTGGTTGGAAGAAAATTTTCGACGAATCCAACGCGTCAAAAATTCTATTCCCTGTTCCTATTGCCTGTTGCCTGGCATTGTGTGATAGGCTTAACTGGAACGCGCGCTAGAGCCGAGCCGTGTGTACCGAGAGAGAGCATCGTCGAGTGGCGTTTGTCATTGGTCTAGTTTACACCGTTAAATCGGTTGGTGCGCACATTAAGTTGGTACGGATTAAACATTTGATACATCCCTGTTTACACCATTTCGTCTCAAAACAGGTTAGGTTAGATTTTTAATCTGGATAAAGTAAAATCAAACTTCTACCACAATATGCTAAACTGAATCATACTTCTAACCTCAATCTAGCAGGAATGCCGGGTATAATACGACCCGAATCGAATCAAGCGTTTACAGCGCCCTAAAATATTTTGATACGCGCACCAACTTGGTCTGATACTAGCGATTCAGGAGTATCAGACCAGAGCGCACTAAAGTAATCCGCGAGCGTTTACATCGAGCGAATCAAGCGATTTGATACCGATATAGTACTTGGTACGCGTACCAAACGATCGGTGTAAACTAGCTCATTGTCTGGCTTATAGGGTGGTCGAGAGTGGGGACGGAAAGGTACAGTCCGATCGAGAAATTAGCTCGTTGTCAGCATAGACATCTATAGACGGAGCATTAGCTACAACTCTGGACAAGAGGGGTTCTGATATTCGGGGCGCGGGAGGCACTCATCTGACATCGACTCTTTCCGGTGAGATTCGGTAATATTCGGTTACATTTCCAATACGTGTGCACACGTATATACGGCGCGTTGCTTGTGTGCGAGCGTGCGCGCGCGCGTGGCCGAACGGATCATCCCCTCCAACTTGGAGTGGGGATGATCCGTGCACACGTATTGGAAATGTGAACCGAACATTACCGAATCTCACCGGAAAGAGTCGAAGTCAGACGAGTGATCCCCTTAAGACCTTCACACATAAAATTCCGTAAGGACGTAAAACGTAAGCGTAAGAAAATCAACAGGTTGGATTTGCTACTGCTTGCGTCATTGCCTTACGTTCTCGACTGTGATTGGTCGATTTTCTTACGCTTACGTTTTACGTCCTTACGGAATTTTGTGTGTGAAGGCCTTTACCGCGATTATCAGTTACCCCTCGTACAAAGGGTCCGTCTATAGAATATAGAAGTCTATGTAGCAATTCACGACAAATACGCGCGATTGCCCATTACCGCCGCGGCGCCGCAGTCTTTTTCGTCCTAGAGACCCTAGAAGATAGAGACTGGACAACTGGCGGAAGCATTGAACTATAACCATACTGGAAGGAGCACTGCCTACCCCCTCCATAGGATCGAGCGGTCAGAGAGAGATAGTTGAGTGGGAATGGAGCTATTCTTGTCTAACTAACTACAGCGATCCTCGCTGTAGTTAGTTAGACAAGAATAGCTCCATTCCCACTCAACTATCTCTCTCGCACAACTCTGACCGCACGACAACAATGGAGTGCTCCTTCCAGTATGGTTATAGTTCAATGGGCGGAAGTGTCCACAAAATGGCCGTCAGTGCCGCGATTTAATTGAATCTTGTGCTGCTGTGTCGTGTAAGTAATATGATTTTTTTCATTTACACACAATCTCTAAATGAAAAAAATCATATTACTTACACGACACAGCAGCACAAGATTCAATTAAATCGCGGCACTGACGGCCATTTTGTGGACACTTCCGCCAGTTGTCCAGTCTCTATCTTCTAGGGTCTCTATTTCGTCCATGTTCCCAACGTGCCTCTTCGCGGTTGACGACGCCACTTTAATCAAAGGTAATCTTCCTTCCTTCTACATGATATTTTATCAGACAGTAAAAATAGAAACTCTAAGAATCTTTTTCTATGTTTTCAATAATATTTTTTACGTAGCCTTAATATTTGTGAGGATAAAAAGCTTAAGAAAATTAGAGGTTAGGGAATAAAATTAATTAATTTCGCTCACGCCCATACGCCAACTCTCTTATTCTAACGCCAGTGCTACAAATAGCTAAAATACAGGCATATTTTAAAAAATTATGCCTGTATTTTAGCATTTTTACATAAAAAGATAAAGATTATGACTTACTTCTTACTGCTTTCTTTTAATGTAGACGGTCCTTGAGATATATATATATATATATGTATATGTTGAGCCTAATCTTTCGTCTCCACTGCCCGTGTGAGACAAACAGAGTAGGAAGCGTGTTTCTTCTGGGGCCAGGCAAGAGACTGATAGAGTTGCAATAACTAAAGCTACTTTACTTTTATGCAAATGAGCAAATGATACAAGAGCTGTGTATTACACGGCGGTCGCGACGCAAGTGAAGACACGCACGTCTATTCCGGAAGGCTCGAAAAACTGCGCATGAGCGGTGGCGCTTTCAGAAAGTTCTGGACTATTCCATGGTGGAAGGGATAACATGGTGTGCTCAGTTCGGCTAAACCACGCCTACTTTTGCTTTGCGACGGCTATAGATTCCCAGGGCTATCAACCGTGAAAAGTAAAAAAAATTTAGCGTTGGTAAGTTGGGTATGCTGCATCTATCGTCCTTGTTTCACGCATTCGAGCGTCGTAGTTTCTCTTTCTATCTTTGGGCCTGTTCTTTATTACTGCACTACTGAACTAGTGCACTAGGCCTTTTGTACACGCGATCAAGGTTATGATCACTCT